TGGCCTGATATAGTTCAACGCGACATGTCGCTACATGTTGTGTTGCATTAAATAGTACGTTTATCGTGCACTTAATATAAGAAACATGCATCGACATGAAATGCTTAGTCTTAGTTTAACAGGCATTTGAATAACGAGAGTCGCGTATTTTTTTCAAAATGTCGAAAACTGAGTATCGAAGTGTCATAAAGTTTCTGTTTAAAGAAGGTTTATCCCCTGCCCAAATAAAAGAACGATTGGATGGCTTGTATAAGGAGTCTGCCCCCTCCTATAGCACAGTGAAAAATTGGGTGAAAGAGTTTCGCCTCGGGAGAGAAACCGTCGAAGACTTTGTCGACCTGTGGAAGTGCTCACTCCCGAAACGATTGCTCTTATCGAAGAGGAGGTTCTGAGTGATCGCCGTTTGAAGATTAGAGAAATTGCAGCAAGGCTTGGGCTCTCTAAGAGTACTGTTCATCGCGCAATCCATGAACATCTTCACATGAAAAAAGTGAGTGCAAGATGGGTACTGAAACTTCTTTCAGCGGTACAGAGACAGGAAAGAGTGCGCTGCGCTTCGGAGTTTTTGGATCTTTGTGGCGAAAATCCAAAGACTGTGATCGAGCGGCTAGTGACTGGTGATGAAACTATGATCTTGTATTATGATCCACAAAGCAAGCGCGAGTCAATGGAATGGCGTTATAAGGGTAAAAAGCCCACTAGAAAGGCAAAGGTGCAACAATCGACTAAAAAACTGATGTGCACAATATTTTGGGATTTTCAAGGCATTTTGATGGTGGATTTTAAAGAACGTAATACAGTCGTGAACGGCGAATATTATGCTTCTTTAATATATAAATTACGAGACAAGATAAAGGAAAAACGAAGAGGCAAGCTGTCTAAAGGTGTCCTGTTGCTCCATGATAACGCCCCTGTTCATACCACTGGTGTTTCGAAGGATGCAGTTCGTCAATGCGGGTTCACAGAAGTTCAACATCCACCTTACAGTCCAGACATGGCCCTGTCCGACTATTATTTATTTCCAAATTTAAAGCGGGACTTAAGAGGAAGAAAATTTTCAAGCGATGAAGAGTTGCAGGCGGCCGTCTTCAGTCATTTTGAGGATAAAAAATGTGATTATTTTTATAAAGGTTTAGAGATGTTGATTCACAGATGTCAGAAGTGTGTTAGTATTCATGGTAATTTTATTGAAATATAAAATTGGTTTCGTTTCATTTCCTTCATTGGTTCATAGTTAGGCCAATTCATTATGGGACTGCCTACTATATAGTCTATGAAATAAAGCAAATATGTGGAAGGTCTCAAATAAGTAAAAGCATTATATAAATATAAATGGGACTTGAAAAGGATTATTATAGTGGCGTGTATGCTGCTTCATGAGCAACTGAAACCGAGGTAAACTTGGACACGCTAACCGATGTGTCCTAGACATATCATCTTAGTGCTGGTGGTAAGCGGGTTTGTTGTAGCAATACGGCTTTCCCGTGGAAACCCATACCGTTTTTGGGCGATGTCGTAGCGCATAGCGATATGTCGTCTATCTTTCGGATTGGGATGAGTGTGCTTGGTAGCATTTTCAAGTGTAACAAGCATACTCAACTTCATGTCTTAGTGCATTAGCGCTATGATACGTGGAGTTTTGTCCACTGGCGTCTTACTAGCGTGCTACTATGATACGTTGGTTCAGTTTTTAGTTAACAACAGTACAAATTTTGTTACCAATGTCGATAGGGATCAGTGTGTTGTAAGGGGGCGCCATCCGTATGATAGTTGCATTGATGCTTACTGCTACTTACGGTATTGCGTCTTGTGATGGATCTGCGGGTATGCTACACCTGATTCGATCTTGTGGTTCTGGTCGATGGAGGTATGCGGGTGGTGATGTTTGCTGGGATTTATGGGGGACCTTGGGATGGTGTAAGCCTGCCGATACTCGTATTGATGCTTGTTGCGTTCTGCAACATTGCGTCTCTGCGGTGGTTGTTTGGTGGGACGCTATTCTCAATGTCGCTCTCTGCATCTAAGTAGCTTTGCCCAAGTAGGGTCTCTGTTAGTCCTCAGGGGTGACAACGCATCTACATTGTGATTCTTAATTGAGGATAGATATAGATGTCTATGGGCCACAGCACCTAATTACTATCAGGTGGGCTGTGTGTTTATTTGTTGCCTTCATTCTATAAAAAAAGTTATATAACCGAAAAATGATAAAATAAAATAAAAACATATATCGTACGTTCGTACAAACGTTTTCCAGATTCCGTAATTATTATTTCATAAAAGAAAGGATATTGATCTAAACAATATAAAGATAAAGTAGAAATAATAGCAAATACCACTAAACTCAAAATCACATGGAAAGATATGAAAAATATAACCACATGCACATATATCTCTAACATAACCACAGACACAAATATCAATGCTTGTTATATTTGATTTAGATTTTTTTTAAATCCGTTCAGTTTTGGAGGAAGAAACAGAGGCAGAAATAGATACTAGCGTGCTACTATGTAATAGCCCTTTCAGAACTGGCCCTACATGATTGTGTGGTTTACTAGATTCAATTTTGTTCAAAAACTATTTATTCTATACGAACGGGCTCGATCTCACACGATTGCGCGTGAGCCGAACTTTTACCTTGTGTGTGAATTTCGCGCGTCAGTCAGTTGGCCAGCAGGCAGCGACCTGCCTAGTACTGCGATTTTTTTCGGTCCTGGCTTTGGTGAATGTAAGTAGAATTACATAAGTATTTCTTAGTTATTTATAAAGTTTTTTTGCACGTAACATCACTTAAATGTTTTTTTCACCGACTTTTGTGATTTTTACACTGTAATTGGTAAATAAGCTTCAGTGACGAGTTACCGAACTTTTTTGACACAATCGTATGAAGTGGGGCCGAAGGCTATCTCTTATCGACCCTAGACACTAAGAGATGTTTTATTTATTTTGCAGATTTTTACAATAATGGCACGGTTCTTACACGACGACCAGATTGAGGGATTCCTAAATGGCTCCGGGGATGAGGGTAGTGATGATGAAGAGCTGCAGGACATGCCTTTTTCCAGGCCAAGAAACTAGTATTCCTTCTCCATCTGAGTCTCAGTCTTCAAGTAGCAGCGATGAAGACGTGCCACTGTCAAATTTGCAATGGAAGAAGAAGAAATTTCATGGTAAACCGATACCAGGGGTCTCAGACCCTAAACTACACGCAGTATTAACTCCAGCGCAATACTTTGAACGCTACTTCACGCTGGAATTAATGGAACAGTTTGCGCTAGCCACTAATCAGTATTATATGACTGAAACTGGACATCAGTTGAAGCCCGTTTGTACTTCTGGGGAAATCAAAAAGTTTTTTGGCATCCACGGTTTAATGGGGTGCTTTAGTTATCCAAGAATCAAATTGTTTTGGAACCAGCGTTATAAGTTCGACCCCATAGCAAGTGCTATGTCGAGAGATAGATTTTTTCTCCTAAGGGTAAACCTGCATGTTATAAATGTTCATGGCGTGAACAAAGAAGTGGAGCAAGCAAAGAACAAACTATGGAGAGTTCAACCTGTTATTGACTCCGTACGTAATCGTTGTCTGCAGCTGCCCCGCGAAGATATTCACTATTCGATTGATGAACAGATGGTTCCGTTTGGAGGAAGGTGCGCGGGGGTAAAAGTGGTTGTAAAAAATAAACCCCGCCCCGAGGGCTTGAAAAATTTCGTCGTTACTACTTCCACAGGGAAAGTATTAGATTTCGAAATTTACCAAGGAAACACTACCAATTTACCTGATTCAGAAAAATTTGGGATGGGACCTGCTGTCGTTTTACGACTAGCCAGCACTCTACCAGAAGGAAGTTTTCTTTATTTTGATAGATACTTCTCATCTTTGTCATTGATGCAGGAGCTCCAGAAAAGAAATATGGATGGAACAGGAACTTTGATGATGAACCGTTTCAATATAAAAAAAAAATTAAAGTATGAATTTAAAAAAGGATGCGGCTATGAAACGAGGTGAATATGAAGAGATTGTGAGCGCTGATGAAAAGATCTGTATTCTAAAATGGAAGGACAATAAAGGTGTGTTGATGACTTCGACAGCCTTTGGTACTGAACCCGTATCCATTGTTCCTAGGTGGGAAAATAAATCAAGGCAATACATCGAGGTTTCCTGTCCAGCTGTTGTAAAAAATTACAACGCTTTTATGGGAGGAGTGGACACCTGTGACCAGATGATGGAAAACTATAGAACTTGGATTAAATCAAGAAAATGGACAGTTAAGGTTATCCTACATTTGTTTGACCTGTCCATAGTCAACTCTTGGATGGAGTATAGACAAGATTGCAGGGCAAACAAAATGAAGACTAAGGACATCCTAGACCTTCTGGCTTTTCGTCTAAGTGTAAGTGAATACCTTTTAGCAGGTTCACCAAGGGCTGCTGGAGATAATCGAGAACCAGAGTTTGCAGAAGTGCCCAGCTCTTCAAGATATCGTCCAAAGCCTCTACCATCCGTTGACAAGCAAAGAGATGGTTATAATCACTGGCCAGTCATGGATACCTTGAAAGAGCCTCGAGTCTGCCGCGCTATAAAGTGTACCAGTAGAACACTTTGTCGATGTTCTAAATGTGATGTTTATCTGTGCCTCACAAAGGACAGAAATTGCTTTTATGACTTCCATAACTAAGGTTTTACTTGATTGATCTCATTTATAATTACTTAAAGACTGAATCTACACTTTAGAGACTGATTAGTGCTGATAAGAGGTAATTGTTAACTAATTTTCTATGAATACTTATTGATTGTGCATGTTTAAATTTGAAATTATGTTGATTTTGGGCTAATAAACAATATATTCGTCAATTAAAATGTTGTTTTATTTCAAATATATTGTAAGCTTTGGCCCGTCTTGATCCAATTGTGCGATTTCATGATTGTGGGTTTGCTATCTTAGGCCCCTGATCATACAATTGTGTGGGCTACAATTTTCCAAGATGGCGGCCGGAAAATGGAAAAGCGACCTCAGATTTGTAATTAGCAGCTCATTTTATGGCAGGTGTGACTTTTTTTCCGGATCAATTCCGTCTAGTTTTGGCGCCGGTCCGAAAGGGATAGGGAATGATGATTGTGTCAATTTTTTATACCGATAATGCCACCGTGTAGCTGCGGTCCATTCCATTCCATTAATATCCATTAACCCCAAATCATCCCGGGGATTTAGTAAGAGACGACAAAGGGAAACAAATCAGAAGATGATCTGGTCAGCACCGTCTTCCTAATAACAGCTAAAAAGCAGTTGCCAACCAGCCTGCCAAGTCGACAATTATGACGAGATTCCTCACCATGAGGCAATCTGTGAGGGAGGCCTTTATCCAACAGTAGACTTTGACGGTAACGATAATCAGTTCGAGCAGCAGTTTTCTCAGTGGTCGTTCGGGCACAGTACGACAGCAACGAGAGGGTGCAAACAAGTATAAGTGACCCACCGCCCGTTGCCGGCCTTTTAAAAAAAGAGTAGGCTCTCTTCTTGAAGGTGCCTAAGTCGTATCGGTCCGGAAAAATCGCTGGTGGTAATAATAGTAGTCGATTCCATAAGGAAGTTGTGCGAGGAAGAAAATTTCTTGTTGTTCGTGCAGTGGTGGACCGCCAATCATCCAGATGTATGTACAAACATGCAGGTCAAGTATCAATCATGTAAAATATATGAATGGTCATATATTTTACACGGTGAGTCCTTTTTTGTTTTACTAAGAATTTTTACTTGTTTTAATAAGCCCCCGTAAACCAAACCACCTTTAAAACATTAATACTTTCAATTTCTAATACTAATCACGGTAATATTTAAAATATAATATCCTCAAGACTTTGGGTGTCGATTCAAATAATTATTAGCAAAGGCCATAAATTTGGGAGTTGAAATGTAATTTATTGGTTTTATGGTTTGTTCCATTGTTTTCTGGCTTTTTAATGGTTTGCGATTGTTTTTTAAACATTAAGTAGTTCAAGTATCAAAAGTGCTGAAATACAGAAGGTGCTACTGCAATCTTGGAAAACTGTTTTTTTTAATAACGTTACCCTCACACTAGGTTATTCTTCTCTATCGTGGAGGCAGTTTACAAACATTAATTGCACAAACATCGAGATACGGAACAATTATTTGTAGGCCATACAAGTACTTGTTCCGTGCGGGATTCGAACCTGCGGCGCCAAGCGCTACAAATCATTGCAAAGCCACTGCACCATGGAGCAGTCAACACACATGTTACAGATGCGTTGTCACATCAAAAGACTGAAATGGATGTCTGAGTTACTGACGGAATGAATGTTTCTCAGTCTGTCTGTATACCCTTCAAGCCGGAAAATAGCTGTCAATACACTGCTCCATAATGGCAGAAATAGGGAAGAAGTTAGTATCCATCCCGACGAGCTCCCGGAGAGATGAGATTGTTATACTACCTTGTAGGTACTGAACTTCTAAGATGTTTTTAAAGCTGAAATTAACGAAACGTCATCACGTTGTCGCCAACGTCAAAAATATTTGCTTATCAGTTTTAATTCCTGAACTCAACTAAATAACATAACTAAATAAATAACATTAAATAACATGGAGAAACATAATGATTTCTTATATTTACGCGAACACTACACATTGATTAAATCGGGTCCCCCGTGACTATGGGTGCAAAAAAGCATCCGAAACGTCGGGAGTTAAAAATAACTTAAATTAAACGCGATAAAATCCCTAAAAGTACTTTTAATCAACACGGATAAAATTATTGCATAGTAAATAACGAAGGTAATAAATCATATTTATTTCTACAGAATTCTTACCCGGATAGCATAACCATATCAAGAATTTACAGACCGGTGGCCACAGGTGGCCATTATTGGAGTGTTGTGCCGTAATCACCACGATTGTCGGAATAAATAATGTCAGACCACAGATTACCCCCTAATGTCAGACACACAAGTAGTAGGTGCTATTGTACTGAATGCTGAGTACAGAAGCTATTTGTGATCGAGCTATGATCTATGAGATAGCTAATTACACAAGTGGTAAAATTAAAAATTTTGTACAACCGACTTCAATATAAATAAAATGCGAACATCATCAATGTGGATCGTGCTTTGTGGCATACTTGGGGGAGGCCTATGTTCAGCAGTGGACTTGTGAAGGGCTGTAATGATGATGATCATCATCATCAATGTGGTCAAAGTCAATTTTGAACGCATTATTAAGGAAAACTCAAAAACAATTGGTCAGGTCAGGAAAATTGAATATGGGACCACATGAGAAACAACGGCTTTCAAGTAAAAAAAGAATCATCAAAAGCGGTTCACCTAGAAAAAAGTTTTATGGTAAACCACATAAAAAACATTAATGAATTGAGTGTCTGCTCCTTCTTTTTGAAAGTTGATTAAAAAGAGAAGCAAGTAAATAAATTCTAACAGTTATCAGCAAGCTAATTAATTGTTGGTCGAAAGGGGAAAAATCCTAAGCCAATGAAAGACGATGGGGCTCATCACGATCAGATCGCGAAGTCGCGTCTACCGTTCATGGTTACTGGCAATATTATATAAAGGTATTCTGTGCTTGCTGGCAATATTATATAAAGGTACTCTGTGCTTGCTGGCGGTACCTTTACGAAAAAAGCTGTGTTACATTGGGTCAGTGACAGACGTTAGTCAAATGGCGCAAGTTTTAACTCCAGTGACTGACATAGATCTATCTCACTTTATAATTAAAGGCAGCATTCGAAAAGAGTTTAACTCAATTACATACTCAGATAAGGTCAATTGCCGTAGTCGAAAGATACGCCATGCGGAGGAGCACACTGTCCGAAAAAGCGCTGCCCGCTCTATTTGTGGACAGCTCTAGACAGACTTGAAAATAGTTTAATGCGATAGCTTTTTCTTAAGACTTGTATGAACCGAGACTTGCTATATAACCTAAATTAAAATCAGCATCTAAGGCTGACTACTCGTATTACAGACAGGCGCGATAAACTGTTTTCTAATGCTGACTCTTTAGGAAATTCCGCCACTGAGACTGACGTTTAAAATGGCGCCGTTTAACTAATGCCTATTTACTGAGTAATGACCCAATGTAAATCGGCCTTAACAGACAGGACTGGATTTAGAGGAATCTCTAAATCCAGTCCTGTCTGTTAAGGCTCAAACCCCACCCTTGTCTCTACTCATGGTCAACATTATGCGTCTGGTTTCTCCCATCATGATCTCATTTTCCTTTCCTATATCCTGAAACCTCCTAAACCTTCACCTAAAATCCTGCACTTGCGTTGTTTTGGCCGCATGGGTGTAGAGAAGTTGTGTCAGGATGCTTCTAAAATTAAATGAGACACAGTGACAGCCGCTCCCACGGTAGACGAAAAGGTTAGCGCATTTAATAACATATTAATTAATCTATATAATATGCATGCTCCTATTAAAAAAGTAAAGCTAAAGCGGCTGACAGCACCTTGGATGACAACAGAGATCCGCGTTGTGATGAGGCGTAGAGACCGAGCCTTTCAGAAATATAGAAAAGTGCGGTGTGAGGAAAATTGGTCCATTTTTAAAACTGCAAGAAATCGGTGTAACCAGATGATACGCAACGCGAAACGCCGATATATTCTTAACAACATCATATCCTCTTCCCCGGTAGATATTTGAAAGTTCCTTGTAACCATGGGTATTGGTAAGAAGTCCCATTCTGAGTTTCTGAGTTTCAGAGGACAATTGGTTTGGATGATATCAATCAACACTTCTCATCACATACACCTCTGGATCACCAAACCAAGTGTCAAACTGTTAATCAGTTAATGGGTTTACCTCGTCCTAATATCGCTCCTTTCCGCTTCTCTTCAATAGCGACGAATGAGATCAGGAAGGCTATACTCTCCATTAAGTCTAATGCTATTGGTTGTGACAATATCGGTCGCCGTATGATTATTAATATTATAGACCATCTAATACTAGTTTTTACGGAATTTATCGCGTATATTTAACTTTTTAAATACCCGACGTTTCGAACGCTTTACAGCACTCATGGTCACGGGCGGGACTGAGATGTTCAACGTCCATATGTCATAGTTAACCGCGGTTACCATAGATTAAAATTTAACTTTTGTTCCGATCTATACAGTATGAACTTATAGTATCTTGAAGTCTTGCAGTTGTATGCTTGGGTTGGGATTTAATTTTATTTATTATAGGATCCCAAGCAGATGGTAGCACCCAGCCATCTTCTCTATTGAAATTAGGATGTTTTTTGATTTCAATAGCCTCGCGAATCATCCTTGGAAGGAATCGGGTTCTTTAGCGAGGATTTGCGGTCTATCAAATCTGATGTAGTGACGGGGGCGATCCTGTACGTGTTCACAGACTACAGACTTCCCGGAGCGTCGCGCTCGGGGTATGCGGGGTATGGGGGTATGGGGGGCAGTGGTATGCTTGGGTTTAAACCCAAGCATACCACTGCAAGAGCTCAAGACATAGTCAGTTCATTTTGCATAGATCGGACCATAAACAATAATTAAAAAAGCTGAAGGTACTCCGGGTTTAACAATGACATCGGGACGTCAGTCATCTCAGTCCCCCGTGACCATGGGTGCTGGAAAGCGCCCGAAACGTCGGGAATTAAAAATAAAAAGTAAAAATAAACGCGATAAAATCCGTAAAAGTAGTTTTAATCATGTGCAATGTTCGCGTAAATATAAGAAATCATTATGAGTCCTCATGAAGTTGGTGTGACTTGCATGCTAGTGTTCCTCAAGGCGGTATTCTATCTCCGTTGTTATTTTCAATATTTATAAATGTCATTACCCCAAATCTTCAGTGTGCGTATCATTTGTATGCTGATGACTTGCAGTTGTACTCACATGCGAAGGTCGACTGTATATCTACAGCAATTGAGTCTCTTAATAGGGACCTATGGAGTATATAAAGAACTGGTCTGACAAGTTTGGTCTTAAAGTTAACCCATCCAAATATCAGGCTATAATAATAGGTAGCCAACGTATGATAAAGAAACTGGATCCCACAGCTTTACCGCCGATCATTTTTAACGGTTTTATTTTAGAACTGAGTAATACCGTAAAAGACCTTGGATGGCACATTGACTCCACCTTGAGCTGGCAAACTCAAGTGGCAAATGTTTGTCAGAAAGTGACAGGTATTTTGCGTTCTCTCTACCGCCTGAAGAACTTTCTCCCGTCCAGGACCAAGACGATTATTGTGCAGACCTTAATTTTTCCCATTTTTGACTACGGTGATGTGTGTTATTTTGACCTGAATGCAGAAGTCTTGAACAAATACGACCGTCTTCTTAATAACTGCATTCGATTCATTTTTAATCTTCGAAAGTATGATCATGTGTCTACTTATCGCTCTCAACTTAACTGGTTACCCATTCGTCAGCGCCGTAGTCTACGTGCACTCACTACTCTTTACTCTATCTTGATGTCTCCTAAAACTCCATCTTATTTAACTCCTCATTTCAATATCTTAGCTCCAACCATGATAGAGTTCTCCGTTCTAGTAATAACCTTTTGCTTCAGTGCCCCCCTTTTAGTACTAACTTTACAATCATCGTTCTTTGTTCAATCTGTTCTTCATTGGAACGCTCTTCCTTCCGAAATCAGGAGTGCCGAAAACCGGATTTCGTTCAAATATAAAGCGCGAGAACTGCTCGTCAATAAAATGGCAGAATCAACTTAGCGTTCGTAATTAACCGTGTTTAATATTATATTTAATATGTGTGTGTATAATGTATATTATATGTATATTATATATATATATATATATATATATATATATATATATATATATATATTGTGTGTTTTAATTTTTTTTTTGTATATATACTTACATTATGTTTATATATATGTATATATGTATGAGTTTATATATATTGTACATACTTCTTATTACACCTACCTCTTTTATCTCTGCACTACTACTCTAAGGTAGACTGGTGAATGCCTCAGGCATTAAGTCCGCCTATATACATCTGTGTATATGAAGTTAAATAAATAAATAAATAAATAATAACGATCAATTCCAAAACTCAATCAGCTTTTAAACATGGAAAACGACGTTGATTGCTGCGAACCACTTCAAAATCGGTTTATAATTTGAAGAAAAATCGAGTTTTTTTATCATAACATTTGAATTAATGATTTTTATTGTCGAATCGTTTTTTATATAATAGATTTTAATATTTTTCTTAAAATAACTCGTCGATTGCTACCAATAACATCAAAATCGGTTGATCCGTTCGAAAGTCATCATCAAAAAATTTCAAAAAGTTTTTTTTAATAATTCGAAATTTCTGTTTCGATTGTTTTTGATGTAATGAGTTATTTATACTGTAAAAATATATATCGAGCGTTTTGAATCGATCGAATAAAGCGGGAAGTTTAAGGGATGGTCTGCAGGGTCAACCGTTTTAAGATTTTTTTTATTTAGATTTTTCTTAAGTCTTGTTTGTAGGCGCGGCGTACTTTACGGCGTACAGTCCGTCAATATCAAAGATTGACACTTCGAAAAATTTACTCCGTCTTTCAATCCGGCCCTGTTAACAGATCTGCGACCCATCGTAAATTTCATCGCAATCGAGAATCCGGCTGATCAATTCGCGGGCGGCGGGCGCGTGCGCGGGCCCGGGAGTGGCACGGCGGTGCGGCGGCGGGCGGCGGCAGTGCGCGAGTCGCCGCCGCCCGCCGCCGCCGCTATGGCCGCGTCGCGACACTACGCTTGCTGACCGCCCTCCGACCCACGAGCCCACGCCTCGCTAGGTAAAGTATCCGAGCCCGCAGCGGCCCAGCTCAACCGGCACACCGCGTTCGCCTACCGGGACACTTATTTAGAGAACTTAATAATCCGCCACCTCGTTAATCGGACTCCGTTCGCCGGCACCTCGGACCCGACACCCACCTACCGACCCAAACGTGTGTTCCGCACTCGACTGTTCTCATGTTCTATTGGTTAGTTGTACTTTTTTTAAATTATTAATTCTAGTTCCTGTAGTACGCTTGTTATTATACTGTTAAATGTTAAATGTAATTGGATAAGTAGACCTTTTAGGTGGGTGTTACATAATGGACGTCTTTCTGCCCCGGTTGAGCTTTAGCAGCCTCGCCTCTATAATTGCTAGAAACGCAGATTCATCTTTACGTTGAGATCTTATTACGCTGTACAAAAAAGATGATAATTTCACTTGCCTTTTATATTGACAAAATAATTTACTGACAGACAATATTTAAATTTTGATTTTTTAAAAGAAGTTTAATATAATTAAAGTTCGGTTATTTTTTAAAGCAGGTTTTTCATAAAAATTAGATTTTAAACGCACCTTTTTAGGTCGAAAAGCTTTGTGATGAAATCAAGTATAAGCAAGATACTTAATATTTCTCCAATAATTTTTATTTCTGATTTTTTTCCATATTATGCATTATAATTTTGAATAATATTATGGATCTATGATCACAATTTTGTGCTATAATTTTTATAATTTATGAGGGTAGGTTATTTATATAACAAAACAAAATTTTTCGTATCTAACAAGATATACGCGGAAGATTTAATTTAATGACCCTCTTTCGTATTTAATTTTTTTCATTAGTCAGCAAAAATGCCCCTATTCAAGTGTATTGTATGCTTAAACACAACTAAAATTAATAAAAAAATTCATCATTAAATTCCCAATAATTAATATTTTATAGAATATTTTGCGGGTTATGGCTGCTTCATTTATTAATATCAGTATCAGATTCAGTAATAATACGTCTTTGAAATATCCTTTAAATTTTGGATGAAATAAATTTCGTTTACGCAGATTAATACGAAACCATTTAAATTAAAAACTTAGTGGCAATTTGAATAAATTAGTTATATTATACATCATAACTCAGCCCTTAACGAATCTACTGCTGAGTGAGTATGGCCCTTCCCCAAAGAATTCCACAAAACACGGACCTGAGCCACCTGCATCCACTGACTGCAAGTCATACCAGTAATAGTACTATTATTTATTCTATGCCAGTAATTTGTAATTAAATACAAAATTTGTATAACTAACAAATTTACTATTTTAGTAAACATTTTAATGATAGATTATAAAGATACATCAATGTCGTTGCATTATCAATAAATGAAATTATTATAGTATTATAACCTGTTATAAACAGTGAATCAGTACCTAAGTGAAAAAAATTGTCTCTTTCTGCGCATATTGCATCGATTTTAAACGATAACGCTCTACTATGTGCTAAATTTTCTTAGACAAAGACGCAACATAAAGCGTCTTACTTAGGTTATATGTAAATAATGTAGTATTATGTAAATATATGGCTTGCATTATTTGTAAACATATAAATAGGTATATAGTTTTCGTTATTTGTAACCTAAGGCATTTTTTATTTTACTTTGTAAGGCAAAAGGTATATTAATATTGAGGAGACAGCAAAACCCATTCAGAGTACCCTGACGTTTGTTAATATCTCCTCGAGTATGTTTTATATTTTGTAACAGTAAGGAGGGCTATTTTATAGAAAGCCGTTTTTATTTTTTACTGTCAAGGACAAAGCACCTTTATAATATCGTTCCGTCCGTGTGTCCTAATGTGTCACACATCATAACGTCTAGAACTGATTTTAGACTTACCTACGTAATTATAGTCTTTGCGTCAGCTTACAGTTTAGCGTGTCTAGAGATGGAAAAAATTTAAATCGATTTAAAAAGGCGACTAACAATATACAAAGCAAAGCAAAAATTATCGATTAGCTATCAAGGAAAAATTAAAAATTGAACATATATTTCTTTATAAATAAATTACACGAGAACCTACAAGTGCTAGCGCCTTTTGCTATAAATGTGTATTAGTGTTGCCAGGTACAGTGGATAAATATTGCATATAGTGGGACAGAAGGTAAAAATAATCGAGGGTTTGGTTTACAAATCTAATAAAATAAGATAAAAAGATATAGAGAAATAAAAAATCTATTAGTCGCCATTAGTTATAGTAAAGTTTTTTGACACAATGCGCAATGTTTTTTATAATTATTTTTGGACTGAACTTTTTTGAATGACTTATTTTAATATTATTCTGAAAAAAGTAATAAATATAACGAACTCACAACGCATGTACTTCAAAAAACCCTAGAAAACGTCATCGTGCAATGAAAACACACATTCATTCGTAATCAAATTATAACCTCAAACGCCCAGATAAAATATTATTTATCGAAAACAACAGAACCTACAAATGCTTAAAGAAGTTGACTAGTGTTTATTATTGAAAAAAACTACATGAGGTGAGATTTAATGTTAATTTAATAATCATAACAGATATTAAAAAAATTAATATAACATAAACATAAACACTCACGCCTGTCACCCAGAGGGATAGGGAGAGATTACAGACTTCCATTTGGCACGATCCTGATTCCTGACATACCTCTCTCGCCTCTTCCACGTTCATATACCTACGCATACATGCTCGTCGGTCAAGGGTACTCCTAATTTGACCCATTTTCAATATATCGCCAATTTGGTCGATAAACTTTCGCCGAGGACGTCCCTTTCCGACACTTCCGTTCACTTTACAAAACATTACAACCAACATCACACAATAAAATTAATAAAACCTTCTTCAACCTGGCAACCTGTCACCCGCACCATGCAAATGCTATAGTTATCGAAATAGAAAATTTCGAATAAGCTTACTTTTTTAAAATGATGATGTTAAACAATTAAGAAAACTTCGGAAACATTTTGCCCTGTGTTTTATTTTTCAAATAAAATTATAACTTTCAACATACAACTAGCAATATTATAACGTTCGTCCCCATTAATTTAATTTAGTGGTAGCCACTTCAGGAGTTTAAAGTTATACTCCCCTAAGTTAAAATTTCTCGATTTTCAAAAGTTTAAAGATCCATATACCTACCAGAAATTGTAAAAAAATACATGTTACTAACAATACGTGGCTGAATGTAGATCAGTGAACATTTACTCGTTACAATTTTAAACAATGGCAAAGGATTTGGGGTATAAAATTCATATTTCTTTCAGATTAAAGCTGATCCGGTCCCTTTGTTGCTCAATAAAATGTTGAAGCCCACTCTCGAGAACTATGCGGGCTACAAAAAGTTTGCCTTTTGTGTAACAAATACGTTTTAATTGAAATACAAATAAACTTCAGCGAGTTTGTTGAACTGTGCAAAGCGTTGTATAGTATTCGTGTTCACTTTGCATTTTAACCGAGTTTTAAGGACGAGAAGGTTCTATATTAATATTCTATAGAATATTATATTCTATAGAATATTCTATAGAATATTCTATAGAATCTATAATATTCTATAGAATATTATAGAAGAATATTCTAGAGAAGGTTCTATATTTAATAAGTATGCTTTTTATGTATACTTACCGAATTCTCAGAAATGACTGATTCGGTCTATATACTTCATCCAGTACCGTCTTCACCATAAGGGCACATGGGGCCCGTGTCCAGGCCCCCCCTATCATCATGGGGGCCCCGTGACGAAATGCATCGGCCTTATTCGCTTACGCTATACAATCTTTTTTCTATTTTAGGAAAATATAACCTGACAAAAATATAGAGTAAATGTGGGCGTTGTTAGTGACTTTCTGACAACCCTGAGCAGTGACAAGCCACACATTGCCGGGAAAAATGGCATTGACAGATTTCCTATAGGTATAAAATATATAGTTCCGTATTTCACCGCCATCTAAACTCTGATTTTTCATACCGTAAAATTCTGACATTGCTACTAAAAAAGTTCTTCAGGTTAGTCTAAAAGTTCTTTTTCGAAAAAGGGAAAAATTAGACCCATTTGAGAGCAATAAAAAATAAAATGCTACGTATTTTTTATGTTTTACCAACAAAAGGTAAATCTAAATATTTACTTACTCAAGTGACCTAACACAAAAATAACATATATTTCAATATCATGAACAATATATCGAATTAACTTTAATTACTTTATTTTATTCTTTAGCTGGCATCACTGTCTACTAATTCCAGGTTTAGTAAACCTTTAAAAAAATGTTAGCTGTCACGTCGACTTCTTTGAATGCTCGAATGCGCTCGTGTCGGTGTTTGCTGCTGTTTGTTGTTATAATATTGTTATATTTGTTAAGTTTCTGTTATTCTGTTAAGTTTTTTTCTTGTTGATTTTTCATGTTGTGATCGTTTGTTGATGTTTATAAACGTTATGGAGCCACAACCTGGCCCTTCCCGGGAAGCAGCCTCATTTGAAAGAGCACAAGACTCAGACTTTCTTTCTCCCAGAAAGAAGGGTCCTCGTGGTGCTTTTACGCCCAACGAAAAGACCATAATTCTAAATATTTACAAATATAATATAGAAAATTGGCCGCAAACAACTGATCGGAGTGCAACGGAATGTGCTAAAAAGACTTCTGAGGAGACTGGCGTGAGTCTGTCAAGTGTCTATAAAATTACTAAAGAATATAAAGACCCAAAACCCTCAACAATCTTTTATACAAAAAATTTAAGAATTTACTTTCGCCGCAATTAGACGAAAGGTTCACGCGTTTTTCTACAGGAACGAGATTCCGACTATTGAAAAGGTAAAGTTATTACTAATTCTTTAACCACTTATTAAAATGGATACATTCACTAACAAATAAAATGTATGTATGGACTCAGATGTTCAGACTCATAATGAAATTGAAAAATATGCCCAGCTAAAAAGATTTGTAATGAAAACATGTCAAAAAATGATAGCAGACAGAACGGAATGAAAAATCGGACTATAAACGTTTTTATCGGGCTGTACAGTCGCATTACTTATAGCCTGGATTTTTTTTTTATATTTTCGGCCATCTATTTATTTATAATCTATGAGATAAAAATATAATTTCGTACTGTTTAATAAAAATGGCACATCAAAAGATTTAACGGCAAATGATTTATTTAATATGATAATTTTCAACCACA